ATAAAACTCATTTGAAATGCTAGCTTCTAGCAATGGTTGCAAAATAATTTAGGAACAAATCTCTGCTTCCGAATTGAATTTTGTTTTCTCCGCCTATCTCACCCTCTGAGTATTTCTAGTTGGTACCTGAGTACTACGAACTAACTCAAAATGCTTGTCATCTGGGAGCCGAGTCAAACTGTCAAACGGGAACCAAACATTAAAAAGAGCTCATAAATCATGTGGGTAGTTACTGCTTGAACCACAAGTAAAGGTATTGCCACCTACTGAAATCAAATTAAGAATTATAATTATGAAACTGTCGAAACATCGACCTTAGTAGGCGGATAATGTAAATCATCTAACGTGATGCTCGAATAAGTTTTTTTTTATTTTATATTAATAATAATGCCAAAACTGGGTTACGAATTGCTGAAATAAGAATTTAATCAAACTTTATAAGAGTCATGTGAGCTTTGTGGGCAGGTGCACTCCCAACACCATGTATTCGTTATTTGTGGAGCAGAGAAGGAGGAGCCAAGAATTCATTTGACAGCATGTATATACGATTTCGTGAGCTGTTTCGGCAAAACAATTTGAATCTTCGAAAGATTTTCATAATTTTTTTTTTGCTCGCTTGAAAAATTAAACCGACAGAGTTCGCAATACACAGGTTGGCTATCCTTTCATTCCACTGAAAGTGCCAATAAGAAACTGTCAATATTTGTCGATTTCTCGACGGTTCTGTCAACGCCAACATCAAATGTTGTAACTTTTTGACAGGACACAGAAAATACACAGGACAACATGATAACAAATTAATGGAATTGAATCAAATCGATTGTCGACTGCGCGGAATTACCACTCGTGTTCAATAAACCACGTTCATGGTATGGAGTTTCCCATACATAAACTATTATGCTGATGTTTTGGTGAACATTCCTAAAGGAAAAACTTGCATATATTATTTAATTTGCGTTACGTGTAGGCATGTGAAACGCAGACAGTATTTGTTTTATTTTAAAGTGATTATGCTTGTGATTTTGTAGCAAATGAACATCCATATAGACGAAGCCTGGGTAGTGATTGGTGACTGTAAAAGGATACTTTTTTTTATTTAGTTTGATATCCATTTTATATCACATACGAAGATTTGAACAAAATGGCAACACTGCATGCGTGAAGGTACATTGTGAGTCAGTCGGTCTAAATGACGTACGTTCTCCCTCCTCTTGGGTAGGAGAAGAATATTGAGAAAGTGGAATGAAAATCAGTTTTCAACAATACTCGTGATAAAACCATCGTCATCAATATTACCTTTTCAATAATATTGTCAGTATGTCAATTTATTGTCAATATATTGACCTGTGTAACCAACACTTAAGTGAATTGTCATTAATGTTGTCAATATTTATAGATTGATTATATTGTAAGGAAAATTGACAATACGATGTTTGTCAATATATTGACATATGTAATGGGCGCGTCCAAATACAGCTGGGAATATTAACTGGAACTTTGTAATCCATCGCCATCACCCGTTCATCCTACTGTGCAGTTTCGACCTTTTCGGTGCGGAACCGTTTTCTGCACTTGAGCTGTGAGCTTTGATTATTATAGTTGGGCGGTGTCCCGAGCGGTGCCCATTAATTCCGTTTCGCTAAAAATCAATATGTTTGACCCCCCCCCCCTTTGGAACAAAACGTTACACTGAAAATGACCCCCCTCTATTTATTACGCAACGCTCTATAAACCCCCCTCCCCCGCCTTTTCATTTAATTAAGAGGAGGTTTACTTGGATTTGGCTGAAAAACAGTTGAATTTTGGAAATTTTTTTCAGGAGAATGAAAAGACATACGAATTTCCGGTTTCGATAATTATATATATCCACTATTCCTAAATACTTGGAAATGTTTTGAAGGTAAAAAAACAAAATGGCGGCTCAAAATGGCGGCTCGCGTGGAGGAGTGTCAGTCAGGTTTTGCTGCAGAACTTCGAGTGCACACCCTCTGGTGGTGAACTGAAATGAAAATTTTTTATTGCGGTTAAAGTTGATAATATTCCCTATGGCTTACACCTAACTAGAACGAAATCCGACAAAAATTGACCAAATTATGGACATTTGAAAATTTAGTGCTTTTTTTACCCTTTTTTTCTCACTTTGACCTTGCTTAAAAAATAGTAACAAACAATTTTTTTTTCATTTTAGGTATAAGCCATACAAAAAATAGTATCATTCAAAGCGCAATTTTCCGATTGTAAATCGGATCATTTGTTCAAGCCCTATGCTCTAAGTTGTTATAAAAAATATGGTTTTGAGAAAAACGCGTTTAAAGTTTTTGTAGCGTCCCTCAGCGCACATGACAAAGGTTCACTCAAAGCGCCATAACTCGCTAAATATGTTTCGGATCGTAAAATCCTTTTGGCCACATATTCTACACACTTGTAGCTTTCATTTTATGCAAAAAAAATCAATTTTTTTTTGAAAAATCCTAGTAAGCCTCCCCTTAATGTTTGATTTCGTTTTGTATTTTTTTATTTTTAGGTAATTAATTATATTATTAATATTCAAAACAAAAACAAAAGATCAGCGTACCATCGAGTACCTTCTTTTCAAAAGTTCAAGAAAGCAAAAATCTCAATTTATAAAATTAAAACAGATCCATTTTGTAAAGCAAGATTTAGTGATGATAGCCTTCGTTGTCGTTGCCAAAAACGTCAAAAAAGACCTGTATTTTCAAACTTTACATCAAGAAACGAAAAAAAAACAAACTGTTCTCTTTTTTACGCAACGCAAGGCTTTACTACTCCTCCCCTATGTATAATTCGTAACGATACAGGTGACCCCCTCTCCCCCTATAAGCGTTACGTAATTCATGGACGCTTCATTGCAGCAAATTTTTCTTCTTTTTACACCTATCCTCTTCGCGTTCAGACTCGTATCCCTCTGAAATTTTTTAACATCCCTCACATCACATCAATTGCCTGATCTATTCCCATCTATTTTTTCTATCCCTGCTCTATTTTCGTCAACACGACACACTCAAAAAAATCCCATCAATTATGTTTTCCCCGAAAATCCCAAGTAATTACTAGACTGAAAAAATACATCCAAATGAGTGTCGTTCCCCCTGCCATGAATGCTGTTTTATAGCAGCCTTGTAGCATTTCATAAAACGTAAAATGCTACTTGAGAAGCTCTCAATTAATAACTGTGGAAGCGCATCTCGAACACTAAGTTGAGAGCACAAAATAAGCTAATATGCGATAAGCAATAAGCTTGAAATGCAAGGAAGAAGAAGAAGACGAAACCAGAAGGGCTTACAGGTGATCTAGCAATCTATACACGCTATTCTGAATCTAGCCAGTGACTGGGTAGATGGCACCCATTCTTGTATCCAGTAAGGAGTTGTCAAAATCTGGGTGAACTAGTGTTGTTCTGATGAGTAGAATCTACCCAAATTGTGGGTAAATGGGAAAGTTTTAATGCTCATTCATAATATACAATTCTGATACTACAAATTTTATAGCTACGGAACTGTTTGGATGGTGAATGCTACCGGCAGCTACAGTTAGTAGGTGTATTGTTAGTTTCTGAGATTGTACTTTCTTATAATTCTAGGTTATCTAGATATTCTGCGCCGCTTTTCTCGATGCCAAATGTTTGTCGTTGTTCCTAATTTACAGAACTAATTTAAAATCAAATCTCGATAAATGGTAAGCATTTGTAACGATATCCTTATTTGAGAATTACATTGTCGTATTCCATAGTTATACATTTTTCAGAATAATTTCCTCACCTATCATTAACAGGCTAGAAGAGCAAGTCGGGTGAGGTTATGTTTGATAGAGCTACTGCAGTGGTCATATCAACTAATTTCTATTGAAATGGGTAAAGTTACCCATTTATCAAATGTCAACATCTGAGTAAGCGTTACCCAGCTTCTGTCCCAAGTATGTTTACCCAGATTTGGGTAAATGCGTATTTACCCATTTTTGGGAAGATTCAGCTCAGACCGAACTGGGTAGACTCTAGTAGCTTGCAGAATACCCTTAGAAAATACATACATTATTTATACTTTGAAATTTTAAATGTCCTACACGAGGTTGTCTATATGCCTTCATCAAGTACACTTATTTCCAAATTCTACTTGTATACGTACCATAACTAAAAGTCACTGGAGGCAGTACAGCCGACCCAATTCATTCCCTGCAAAATTAAACTCATTGCTTTCTTCGCTACTTATCAAATTTGTATAAATTGCACAAACTCACTCGCTTCCAGTGCCAGTGCAAGGAATGCGATAATGATACGCGATGCGACAGCGAGTGTTCTCTGACTGCTACGCTGGTCCGGGGGCTATAGATGGCAGTAGGAGTTTCGTAGTTTCAGATGATTTGATATCATTACTACTGCAGCAGCAGTAATACTGTTACAAATCCACAAAGTCGTATATACCACGTCATCTTAGTCTTACAATAGCCGACGACGACAATCTAGTACATAAACTCAAGCTTTGCAAATGTCGCTCTTCTCATCGTCGTCGTCGTCGTCGTCGTTGTTGGAAGGATAGGTACCTACCTACGTACGTTTTCAGCAATTCAAATCGTTCATTATTATGATAATTTTACGACGAAATGTGAAACGATCAAGTTTGCGGTTTTACGTTACGGTCGTGGTCTATAGTGTTCAGTTGGTTTAGTGTGGTAATGTCGAGATGAATGTTGAAAATATTTTGAACGTATACTGTGCGACTGACGAGCGCTCGCAGGATTATTCAATGCAATATCGAATTCCAATCTCCCAGGTTTAGCTGGGACGGTTGATTGCACACTGTGATGGAATCAATTGAAGCTTGATTCCATTACGATAACGTCGATGATGCTGCGTTACTGCGGTGGGGGAGGGTGCTGAAGTAATGGACGTGAAAGTCGTTAAAATTAAATATTAATGCTTCCCAGAATGCTTCAATGTTCTAATAAAGCTTAACGAAGAAATTTCTGTTTGTTTTTTTTTTCAGATGTGAATGAGGATTGAACAGAATTTATTGAAATATACAGTAAACTGCAAGAGGTGAGTTGCATTGGTTTCGGTTATTTTACAGGCTTTCATTTCATATTTGACACTTAGTTTAAATTATTTAATTTCCATTGTTTTTGGAGTTAATTTTGCGTTTCAAATATGTACATGTCCAATTTTCGCTCAACTGTTCAAACAGTTTTAAATCGTGTCCTGATTAGCATCCCAAAATTTGAACTTATTTAGAAAGAAACTGACTTGGCACAAACCATTTGAATTTTATATGGAAATTACTATTGGAAAAACAAGTTTTATGTTCGCTGTCTCCTAGCCTTTTTTTCGTATTGCACTGGAAATATTCTCAGCTACAACCTTGCAGAAGATTGTTTTTCAGTCAAACATCATTTTAAATTGTTATTAATTGTTTAAAATATTGATAATCTTATGGCATGATCAAGTAGCTGTTTTGTTGGCAACACTGTATTCAGCAGTGCATAATCATAAGAATCATTAATAACTTTTGTTCCTTCCATTTTATCGAAGAAACGTGGTTTTCAACAAAGTTGTAACTGCAAAAATTTACTACATGCACAGCTATCATTTAATAAAGCAGAACAGTATGGTGAATTATTAGATAGATATGAACAAAAAATTTCAGTCTCCCATAGTAATTTCCATGTAAACTTCATATGATTTGTGCCAAGTCAGTTTCTTACTAAATGCGTTCTAGTTTTGGAAGGATTATCAGAACCCAATTTGGAACCGTTTGAGCACTGTGGAACGAAAATTTCAAATTTTGCATCAGTCTAATATGCAGTCTTCATCAGTGTCAATCCCACGAAAGACTTACTTACTTAGCCCCTAACTTCAGTTTTATGATTGTTTTGATGTTATATGATGGACTGCTTTTTCAATAAATTCAAAATTATTCAGGCGTTCTCATGCCATTTTGTCAATTTCAAGGACATTTCACCATTTTAAAGCCAGAATAGTCTAGGCCAGTTTTAACATTTTTGGCGTCTTAGGACCATCTTGATATTTCAGTTGTCGTTTAAAAAGATTATTATAGAAGTTGTCTGGCTGTTTTAGCGATAAAGGCATTTTAGTATTTCTAAAGCTATTCTAGACCATGGTAGTGTTTTGAAGCCATTTTGGTAATTGACGGCTTGTTTAGCTATTGTATGGCCATTTTTAGTATTATGACGTATTTAGGGCTATTTTGACGTTTTCGAGACTGTTTTGAGAGTTTTCAGGACGTTTAAATAACCATTTCAGCGTTTTGAGGCAATTTTTATTATTGTAGGTTATATTTTGCATTTGCTAGGTAGTTTTGTGTTACGTTGCAAGTTGGGTTTCTATAATCATTTAAACGTTTTGAGGTGCTTTCCCATTAAGTTTTTAGACTAATTTTTCGTTTTGATACTGCTCATACAATGACAGTTTTCACACTTTTTAGGACGCGTTTCATCTGATTTTGGTGTTTTTAATCCGTTTTAATGCAGACTTTAGGTACACAGATAACCAGAAGTTTCATAATAACGCACAGATGGAATCGTACAATGCAATAGTGTTAGTCCAAATGGCATATAAGAATGGCTGGAAATGCTAACATGAAGCTTTAGTGTGATAATTTATTAGCTAGAGAATGATCTTTAGAATGATCTGTTTCCGCGTACATCGTACGGGTTAGGCAAATGGTGTGCTTTTGACTTTATACTGTTGCATTAATGGCCCTTTGCTCATTTTCAACTTCTATTCAATTTTCATACTGCCGTACTCTAACGGAAATATCCACCTACCCTCTTCTAAAGATCATCATCTAGCTAATAAATTATCACACTAAAGCTTCATGTTAGCATTTCCAACCAACTCTAAAAATCGCTAACTTCGCGTATGAAGTAACATAAAAACACTTTGAATATAAAAATAAATTTCATCGCACTATGTTTAAGTTTTATCGTATATAAAGCCAACTTTTAACCTTTACCCGATGTATCGTTTTTGCATCGTACAAGAATACAAATTATATCGCGTAAACTCTTAATACTTGTCAATCTGAATATATTATTACAGCAAGAGGTAAATCGCTCAGCACATTGTGCCGAAATTAGATTCGGTACAGCTTGAACACATTCATCAGCACACCTTCGGCACAATATCGTAGGCATTGGATTGTTCTAAATAAAATGGGAGCACTGCTGAACAACTGTCATTGAAGTTGTTTACAACGTTACGCACTGTTAGACTGTATATTCAGGAGCATCATCTAATTGAATGTACCAGAGGAACTCAGAATCGCAGTTTTTTCTCGGTTCACTTATAGATTTAAATCCGAAATGTAGGTTCTAGTTGGGGTGACCCTGGCGTAGTGGTTAGCATCCATACCTCTCACGCCAAAGTTTCGAGTTCTAATCCAAGAGCGTTAAAATGACTATAAAAAAAATAAAATAAAAATAAAATGGTTCTAGCTTTGGCTCAAGAGAAAAGAGGTAGTTAATCAGTACCCTTACATCAACAATCAGTACGAAACTAACGATTTTAAATTGGCTCACTACTTGACTAGCCTATTGGTCCCAAGCAAACGATTAACGTACCCCATTCTAGTCGAAATTCTAGTACTACGCAATGTTTGTTTTGATTCACTATGAAAGTTTGACAGATAAAATGAGGGGTTATTGGTTTTTTCTATGTTTCGAGGGGTGAATCGATTAGCTTGGGACCGAAGAGAGTACCAGAGCTGAGCCAATAAGTTGAGCAAGTTATTTCGGGACCTTCTAGTCTTAGCGTTACCTCTATGCTTATACCCCGTACAGACTATGGCTTATATCATGTAATATAGGCTATCTTGCAATGAGCACTCATACATAGGATTTCCAGTGAAAACTAGATGTATGAGTGCTCATTGCAAGACAGCCTATATTACATGATATAAGCCATAGTCTGTACGGGGTATTACCATAGAGGTAACTCTAAGACCACTGGGTCCCGAAGAAAATCATTATTATTTTTGGCTCACTCAGTACCAGAACAACGGTCCCAAGCAGTCCCAAGCTATTTCACTCACCCCTGCATGTTCTGCATGAATCCACACACCCCTGATGTTATCTGTCAAACTTTCATAGCGAATCAAAACAAACATAGTGTAGTAATAGAATTTCAACTAGAATAGGGTACGTTAATCGTTTGCTTGGAACCAATAGGCTACTAAAGTGGTGAGCCAATTTAAAATCGTTAGTTTCGTATTGATTGTTGGTATTACCATAGAGGTAACTCTAAGACCACTGGGTCCCGAAGAAAATCATTATTATTTTTGGCTCACTCAGTACCAGAACAACGGTCCCAAGCAGTCCCAAGCTATTTCACTCACCCCTGCATGTTCTGCATGAATCCACACACCCCTGATGTTATCTGTCAAACTTTCATAGCGAATCAAAACAAACATAGTGTAGTAATAGAATTTCAACTAGAATAGGGTACGTTAATCGTTTGCTTGGGACCAATAGGCTACTAAAGTGGTGAGCCAATTTAAAATCGTTAGTTTCGTATTGATTGTTGGTATTACTTCAAATAATGCTGCAACTCACACAAAACAAACTACAGAAGTCATATTCTTCATCCTCTATATTCAGTCTCCAACTATGTCCCCCACCGGTTCCAACTCTTTTCGGCCGCTGCTAGACCGTTGCTTTTCATATAACGAAAGGCTAGGTTTCTAGTTTGCATTTGAGGGCATAATAAAACCCTAATACACAGGAATTTTATTATCCTAAAGGGTGATACGGTCAAAATTTGGTCAATATCAACTTGACGTATTTCTTTCAATTTTGCATTTAAAAAACCTGAACACCCCTCATTTTGAAGGTGTGTGTGTGTAGAATGTTGCTCCTATTTTGATTTTGGAATTCACTCTTCAGTTGTCAAAATGCCGTCCAAGCAAGAAGAGCAGCGTATCAAAATTTTGCTCGCGCATCGCGAAAATCCGAGTTACTCTCACGCAAAGTTGGCAAAATTGCTAAGTTGCCAAATCAACCGTTACAAATGTAATTAAAGTGTTTGGGGAACGTTTGTCGACAGCTAGGAAGTCTGGATCGGGGGGAAATCGAAAACCGGAAGCCGCTGAGAAGACAAAGAGAGTTGCCGGTAGTTTCAAGCGAAACCCTAACCTCTCTCTCCGAGATGCCGCAAATAAGCTGGGTGTATCGTCTACAACCGTGCATCGAGCCAAAAAAGGAGCCGGACTATCGACTTACAAGAAGGTAGTGACTCCAAATCGCGATGATAAACAAAATACGACGGCCAAAGCGCGATCCCGGAGGCTGTACACGACGATGCTGACGAAGTTTGACTGCGTGGTAATGGACGACGAAACCTACGTCAAAGCCGACTACAAGCAGCTTCCGGGACAGGAGTTTTATACGGCAAAAGGAAGGGGAAAGGTAGCAAATGTTTTCAAGCACATGAAACTGTCAAAGTTCGCAAAGAAATATCTGGTTTGGCAAGCCATCTGTACCTGTGGCTTGAAAAGCAGTATTTTCATATCTTCCGGGACTGTCAACCAAGAAATTTACGTGAAAGAGTGTTTGAATAAACGTCTGCTGCCTTTCCTGAAGAAACACGGTTGTTCCGTACTGTTTTGGCCGGATTTGGCATCTTGCCATTACGGTAAAAAGGCCATGGAGTGGTACGCCGCCAACAACGTGCAGGTGGTTCCCAAGGACAAGAACCCTCCCAACACGCCAGAGCTCCGCCCAATTGAGAAATACTGGGCTATTGTCAAGCGGAACCTAAAGAAGACCAAAAAACTGCTAAGGGCGAGCAGCAGTTCAAGGCAAACTGGCTTTCTGCGGCGAAGAAGGTGGACAAGGTGGCTGTACAAAATCTGATGGCAGGGATCAAGCGTAAGGCCCGGCAATTCGGATTTGGAAAAGCGGAAGTCTAACTGAATATTTTTCCTGAATTTTATACTAATTGAACTTGAAAAAGAAATTTAATTTGATTTTTTAAATAAACGATTTCACCGATTTACACGCGTTTTCCCTTGACCAAATTTTGACCGTATCACCCTTTAGTTATGAACATAGAACACCAAAATTTCGCACACATGCCACTTCCGGCGCCACCCTCAATCGGCTGGCGAACGAATACTATGAATTCGAGCATCATGTACAACCGATCAAGAAGCATGTCCGATCAGTTCCCATGGGATAGTAACCACATCCACATTTATGGGAGCATTTATTCCTCACATACTTCCGACGGCGGTAGTATTTTTCGATGTTATTTTCTTTTTTAGATATTGCATTCCTGCTTGGTAATCTACACTAGACCGATTTATCCCCGGGACGGGACTTGACAATCCAGCTTCTCACTGTTCTTAATGTTTTTGATGAATGCCCGTCAAAAATTAGTGCATGGTATTTGACGGAGTTGATCAATGATGCCAGGATTGCAGAATGATTTTTCTATTTTAATTTTAATTTGATTCGAGGTTTCTACCGCAGTTTAGCACCTTGTACATCATTTTTGATTAGCACAATAAAAACAACCATAAACAAACAAGAATATCCATCGCTTGAAGCACGCCGTGGACGTTATTTTACAACTTCACTTTCGCAAATATAAACAATTAACAACGCCATTGACATCAACATTGATTTCGGCATCACTGCTAATCAGAATGGTGTGATCCCTCTGTACTTTTTATTTCACGATTGCTACTGTCATATCGACCAATCAGCAACTGACTTGGATTTGACAGCAAATTGGCTCGAAATCGCTACCCGATTGTCAAGTCCCGTCTCAGATTTATCCCTGCAATTTTAAACCAAAACATTCAAGTTGTCAGAAATACCGGGTTGCCGGGTTGGATATTTTACAAACAATCGCAGCCTGCTCTATGACCGGCACAATCGGCACACACTGAACGAAAACATCCACAATACTTCGAATGATTATTGCATTGCTCGAGCTCTTTAACAATATGCATTCGAATTTGGAATGATTGTCTTACGGTTGAAATAGTCAGATAATGAACATCCAAATGAAGGATGAAAATCTGGCTGTTAAACAGAGGACAAAATTAAAGAATGGTATTTTTCCTTTGGTTTGTTTTCCGTCGATCTTGTTTTCCGTGCTGTGCACCAATGCTACCGACGCCAGGGAGGCAGCTCCCACACCTGGACTCTACCTATCGACCCATCAACTCATGAACCGGGGACCAACGGCTTTACTTCCCATCCGAAGGAAGGCGTGATCAGAGATGTTATGCCTCAGAACATCCCGGCGGCGCCGACTGGGATTGAACCCAGACCTGCTGGGGTGAGAGGTAATCACGCTTACCACTACACCACCGGCGCCGCTTAAAGAATGGTATGACATGCAAGAGCTTTAAAATAGATTTATAATTAGATTGTTTACATACTGAATAGCCATGACCAGCCATTGCATTATGGATACAAAAATTCTTCGTTGGTAGAGGAAACTTCTTCCACCACGAAATTGACAAACTTTGGTCAGACCATTCAAATCGAAACATCGAAATCACCTTTTCGAATGATAGCTGCAAGCGGATGGCGGTTGTTTTGAAATCAGATGAATTTCCTCTGGAATACAGAATGAACATTGTTATGAGAAAGGATAGGGCCTTCAGTTGGAATACGCAATGCTCTCTACAGGATGATTGTCATCTTAAATTGAAATGCATTTGGTTCAGCCCCTTAAAGAAAATCATTCATAACGATAATGTAAATAATTCTATCATAACGATAATGTAAATGACGCTGTTCTGAGCAGGCAAACAAAGTGGAAGCATATCTATCGCTATCAGAGGTTGTACGAACATTGGTAAAGCGTGAAAACCGTAAATTGCCTACTTCGTGGTGGAGGAAGTTTCCTCTACCAACACCAACAAGTAATTTTTGTATCCATGATGTATGGTTGTTCATAGCTATTCAATATGGAAATGTAATCAATCTAATTAAAAATCTAAGCATTTGCAAGTCATCCTATCCCTCAATTAATGTCCTCTGAGGTTTTACAGCCAATTTTCAAATAAATGTCATGCTTTATTTGGAGGACAGTCATATGGATGCTCATCAGTTAATGACGAATTCAAGCATGAAGAAACCATTTGAAATTCAACAGCGTATTGTTAAAAGACTCGAGCAATTCAAAAATCACCCGAAATACTACGGATGTTTTCGTTCAGTGTAAATCACTTCCAATTCAAGTTTAAATGATCGCATTTTCCGCAATGCGATATTTGGATTCTTGTCCGCAGATTTGAGTTGGCTTTTTCTTCCATCACAGGCTTTGGGCTGCCGTTTCGATAGGTAAAACACAAAGTGTTTTTATTTCACACATTGATGACAAAGACCAGAGACGATGTTAAATAAGAGACGCGCGAAGACTGAAGCCGAAAGTTCCAATCGAACCGTCAAACGCGGTTCCAATCGAGCAATGTAAATAAACACGAGCGCTTCACGAAGAAAAGCATGGGAAGTATTGAGATTGGGGTTGAATTTAATTTTTGAGGTTGGTTGTCTTTATTAAGGAGATTTTCAGCCAGACGCTGGTTAACTGTTGAGATTTCAATAATTATAATTAAGTATGAAAAGTGAAATTGAACGGAATATTATTGTTATTCACCAGCTGTATTCTCGTTATGTTCTCACGAAATATTTGCTTCAGCGCAACGAAATACATCTACATATGCTCTGTTACAAAGATCAAGGTGTTTCCGGTGTAATTTTTCAAGATAGTAAAATTTGTGAAAGACTTCAAAAGAGAGATTTCACTCATACATGAAAGGAAGCTGTAGTAAATAGGGCAAGCAAATAGTAAATAAAATTATGAATATAAACAAAGGAGAATAAGTAGATAGATTGGTTGACATTAAATTTGACAGATTTAAGCATGGTGAAATAATTCAGAAGGAACCTTACAACGTACCCATTCAGAGTTGCCAGTAAAAATACACGGTCACACAAAACACCCAAAGTTCAGTTGTTTAAACGGAATTAAATTAAAAATTGATTATCAATGTCAATATCAGTCATCAATGATCAGTTGGTTGATAGTAATAACTTTGATAGTAGTATCTGGTCGGGTATTAAATTTAATTAATAAGAAATAAGTTTAAATTATTTAAACTTAAAAAAATAAATAAATATATATATATGTAAGTCTGTGTCAATACACAGATCTACCATTATAAGGTTCCACTTTAAATGCAAAGTATTAGATCGCAATATTGTCAACGCACTCACTAAACGCAAAGTCAGCACCGGAAGACAATCAGCCCAAGCGGGGGTTTGGAATGCGTCATTCAGTGAAATAAATTTGGAGAGTAAGGTCATGTTGCGATACGTTTACGACATGGCACAGTCGGTGGGTAAGTATAATTGAAAAAAGGAAGTTCAATAGTTCATCTAACTATTGATTTATTACGATTATGAAAGTTTTACAGATATTGAATGTAAAATACTTGATGAATTTGTTTAAAAGGCTGGGAATGTCTATTTATCGTGCGAGAGGCCACGGAGTTGAAAAAAAAAATGGTCGTGCGAGAGGTCACGAACCACGTTTTATTCGAGCGGGAGGTCTCGATCAAAATTACTATACCGTGCGAGAGGACACGGAAATACGAAAATAAAAAAAAAAATGTGTCGAGAGGTCACGATTCAAATAAAAGTAATAATTTTAAAAGATGTCGCGCGAAAGGTCACGGAATAAAATAAAATAAAAAAAAACCGATTAAAAAAAAAAAAGATGGCTGTCTGGTTTTCAAGTTAAGCAAATCGTATGCAAATAAATATTAGATAGCCGAGAAACGTTTAGTTAAAAAAAAAAGAGAAATAGATTTTGATTTTGATGAATAAAAACTAAATAAAAATAATTAGAAAATTTCTGGTAACGAACGATTGTTTTTGATTAATTTTTGTTGTAGAAAATGGTTCACCGCTCGGTCCACTATCAAAACCGAAGCTGAAGAAAAAAAACAAATTGGAAGAGATGGCTAAAGAATTGGCTGCGGAGAAGGCTAAAACGGCATTGCTAGCGAAGAAACTTAGGAAGAAGAGGAAGGAAAATGAGGAACTCACTGCGAGTATCAAGAACCCATCGGTAACCGATAGTGGCTGTTCAACAGAGAACTCCATGTTTGGATTCGATAACCCGAATAGACTAAGCAGTACACGGAATACGACTACCACAACAGCTCAAGAGGAATCACGTTTTTTGTCATCCATGAACCAACTGTCCGTGGCGTCGATTAACGTACCGGAGTGCAAATCGGCGGATGACGAGGACATTCATCGACAGACATTCGAGTTATGGAAGGATCTGCTGATGGATTCCATGAAACTAGCAGGTATTGAAGACGAAAAAACGATGTTCACAGTTTTTAAAGTAAAAGCTGGGAACCGGCTGTTGGAAATATTCAGGAACACGAAGTCCCAAAACGACGATCCTGACTCCGAAACAGAGCCGTTCTCAAATGCCATGCATAGGCTCAAGTCTTATTTTGGATCAGGCTCTGATGTTATGCTCATGAGACGCAAGTTGGCATTAATGGCACAGAAAACAAATGAAACTGATCTGACATTCATTACTCGAGTTGGTTCAACAGCTCGACTCTGTGGATTTGAGGCTGAAAAGGAATTTGAAGAGATAGTTTCAACAGTTGCTGAACACGCACGTAATAAGGATGTACGCACGACGGCTTTGAAGATGTTAAGCAGGAACGGCTGTTTTACGGATCTAGTAGATAAGGTACGAGAAATCGAAGCAATAAGATTGAATGAAGAATTCGTCTTGCGTAAGCGAGGAACCCCTGAACAGTCTGCAGTTGCTGCTGTAAACGTACCATATCCTCGTAGTATGAATCGTCAGCAAAGGTTCCCTGAGCGCAATTCGGTACGTATGAATCCATATCAACGAGTCAATCAGATGCCACGAGCAGGTTGGCGAGCCCCACGAGGACGATTTTTCAGAGGCAAGGGCTCGGATCGATCTTCTTCGTCTGAGAAATGCTGGCGATGCAACACAGTATATCATTCGGCAGAAGACTGCAACTGCAAGGATAAAATCTGTAACAACTGTGGAAGAATTGGCCATATTCGACGTGCCTGTCCGTCTCTCGTTGGTCAAGTACCAAAGCGACTGGCGTCCGAAGTATTGGAAGATGCACCGATGAAGCTTGCGGCCATCGATAAAACCGAGGATACCTCAACTGAAGATGAAACAGTGAGTGAAGTTATTTCTAATTAAATTACTTACATTTGGGGGTTATTCTGGGCGAGCCCCATCACTCAAGTATATATTTGAATAGCGTTAGTTATTCGACGTCACTGAACTCGGGGAATAACCCCAACCATTTATCCATTTATAAAAAAAAAAAAATAAGTCTGCTTAAGTTTTAATTCAATTTATGAACTGCTAAACTCTGCGTTGGAATAATAAGTATGCTTTAAGTTTGTATCTTTAAAAATGAATAAAATAAAGAATAAGACATGATTTGGTAATAAATGTGATATACATGACATGAAACTGAAACTGTATTTTGTCTGTCAGGTCGTAGATTCGAAATCAACAAAATATCCAAATCTCGCCATTAAACGACATTCTCAACGATGTTACAATGAAGAGGAGGAATGTGTCGAACACGACGCATTAAACGATAGCATGAGAAGTAACTCTGAGGCAGGATCAGAGTCAGTGCAAAGAGTAAGTATTTAGATTTTAAATTAACGTTTTGGAAAATACCAATTAGTTTGCATTAAAACTAGATTCGAACAGACCTCCAGGAATATGATGAGGCATTCATTACGACTAAGGTAGCGGGAATGGCCTGTACTTTCCTTATCGATTCAGGGGCACAAGTGAATACATTCACTGAAGAAATGTTTCACGAGCTAATCAAGAACCCTGAATACAGCAAGGAGGTATACAATGTTAAGGACTCCTCAGATCGTCAATTGAAAGCTTATGCCACTGTTGGATACATCCAAGTCCTTGCCACATTCGATGCACATCTTTACGTTTCCGAGAACAGACCAGTGTTGTTGGAAAAGTTTTACGTCGTCAAAGAGATTCGGGCCCTCCTTAGTAGACCAACAGCTTCGAGATATAGTATTCTGATGCTTGGCCTCAAAGTACCTTTCCATACAGAAGGATCCGCATACGAGTCATCAATTTTGGCTGGAGAGATTGCTGCAATCAGTACGGATCTAATCTTTCCCAAGTTTAACATTCCTCCTGTAAAGATTTATTACGACAAAACGAAGCCACCCTGCAGGAATGTATTTTCGAACATACCTGTAGCTGTTAAGCCTCTGGTGGAGAAGAGATTGGAAGGTCTGGTATCCGCAAACATCATTGAACCAGTTGTGGACGGCATGGACTCTTCGTTCTGTTCTTCGATGTTAGTGATCCCGAAAGGAAAAGACGATATACGATTGGTCATTGACCTAAGGGGACCCAATCGATACATTCACCGTACTCCATTTGCGATGCCAACATTAGAGAAAATTCTTGCAGAGTTGGAAGGTGCAAATTGGTTTTCCACGATCGACTTGTCAAATGCTTTTTTCCACATGGAACTTGACGAGGATTCCAGACATCTTACCAACTTCTTCACAGAATTTGGAATGTTTCGTTGCGTAAGGCTTCCTTTCGGTTTGTGTAATGCTCCCGACTTGTTTCAGGAAGCTCTACAAAGAAAAGTGTTGGCAGGTTGTAAAGGTTGCAAGAACTATCTTGACGATGTGCTGATATTTGGAAAGACGAAGGCAGAGCATGATGAGAATGTGGCAGCAGTGCGTGCTTGTCTCGATAATCACAACGTGAAGTTGAACGCAAGCAAATGTGTATTTGGTAGTCAGTCCGTGAAATTTTTGGGATTCACTCTAACTCCACTAGGCTGGCAGGTTGAAGAAGAGAAAGTGGCGGCTATCAAGGATTTCAGGAGGCCTACAAATTGTTCCGAGGTCAAGAGCTTCTTAGGCTTAATCACGTTCATCGACAAATTCATCCCACATCGAGCAACGAAAACGGAACATCTGCGGTTGCTAGCCACTTCTGATAAGTTCTATTGGACAGACGACGAGGAAAATGAATTCAACTTCTTCAAGGACGAAGCTCTCAGTTCCATTAAACGATTGGGATACTATAGTCCAAATGATCGAATTGAATTATTCGTAGACGCATCTCCGATAGGTCTTGGAGCGGTTCTAGCTCAATTTAATGCTGAGGGCATGCCTAGGATAATTGCGTGTTCTTCAAAGGTTCTCAGCTCCGCAGAACAACGATACCCACAGACGCAAAGGGAAGCCCTAGCTGTGGTATGGGCAGTTGAGAGATTCTCATTCTATCTGCTGTTCAGAAGCTTCACAATTCGCACTGATGCGGAAGCAAATCAGTACATTTTCAATACTAGCCACAGATTGGGAAAAAGGGCTGTTTCAAGAGCAGAGAGTTGGGCGCTCAGATTGCAGCCTTATGACTTTTCGATTCAACGTGTACCAGGTTGCCATAACGTGGCAGACGCCCTGTCTCGTTTGATTCCAGCGACACAGCAAGATCTACCGTTTGATCAGGAAGAAGATAACCATTACCTTTATGCCCTAGATCCCGGCTGCATGCAGATGACATGGAGTGAAATCGAAAATGAATCGGAAAGCGACTATGAGCTTAAACTAGTTCGAATAGCAGTGGAATCGAAGAAATGGCCAGCAGAACTTAGTGGATTTGAAGCACAGAAGAAAACTCTGTATGTTCTAGGTTCGCTTGTGGTTAAAGACAATAGAACGGTCTTGCCAGCTTCTCTTCGTAAAAAGGCTCTTAGTTTGGCTCACGGAGGTCACGTTGGAGAAGTGGCCACAAAGCGTATCATGCGTCAATTTTTCTGGTGGCCTCGCATGTCCAAGGAAGTTTCTCGTTTTGTTAAGGAGTGTGAAACATGTGTGCTATTATCGAAAAGGAATCCTCCGTTGCCGTTAACAAGCAGGGATCTACCCGAGGGTCCATGGGAGATCTTACAGATAGATTTTCTATCGATTCCTAATTATGGTTCTGGCGAGCTCCTGGTGGTCATCGATACGTATTCTCGATATCTGTGCGTGATAGAGATGAAAGGTTTAGATGCAATCAGTACAAATCAAGCGCTATGTAAAGTCTTCCAAATGTGGGGGTGCCCAATCATCGTTCAAAGCGACAATGGGCCTCCTTTTCAAAGTGCATCGTTCGTTAACTTTTGGCAAGATAAGGGAGTTGAAATTCGCAAATCTATACCACTCAGCCCACAATCCAACGGGGCAGTTGAAAGGCAGAACCAAGGGATTATTAAAGCGTTGGCTGCATCGAAGCTTGACGGCAAAAACTGGCGTTCTGCACTGCAAGACTATGTACACCGACACAATACGCTGGTCCCTCATTCACGCCTAGGAGTAACTCCATTTGAGTTGATGGTTGGCTGGAAGTACCGAGGTACCTTCCCCAGTATGTGGTCAGACCCGTGCGGCAGTGAGCTCGATCGTTCAGAACTGAGGGAAAAAGATGCAGATACAAAACAAATCAGTAAGAATTATGCAGATTCTTCTCGAGGAGCCAAGGAATCAAATATTAAAATTGGTGACACGGTGTTGCTTGCGCAAAACAAAAGAAGCAAGACTGATCCTACCTTTTCATCAGAAAGATTCACAGTAATAGCCAGGGAAGGAGCCAAAATCGTAATCATGAGCAAAACAGGAATACAGTATGCTCGCAACATCAGAGAAGTTAAAAGAGCGCCTGAATCCATCACATCTGACAATCATCCTGAGCAGGAAAAATTCGTCGAAGTATTTCAAGGTGATAACGGTGGGCAAATAACTCTTCCGGAGGAGGAAATGGTTTCCACGCCAGATTCCGAGATTCAAGCATCAGGTTCGGCTAAGACGTCCAGGGATCTTCGAAAGCGAGAGGTGATCAAGCGACCAAAACGGTTTGATGATCAATTTGTGTATCGCGTATTCTTCTAACTTGATGACTAAAAGAGAAAAAAAGGTTAATACAGTGACAAAAAAATATATAGTTGTAGACAGGTTGATATCTTGAAACTTTTGATGAAAAACGTTCAGCACGCAGAAAAACATGTCTACTTAGATCACCGCTGATTTTAATTTTCAATAAATCAAAACCTAGAGAACCAGTCGATATAAAATTCCTTGTTTGGATTCGCAAGTTTTTGTTTTCTGTTCCTGTACTTTTTAATTCTAATCCAGAAAGTCTTACTGCTCAAACTTTTAAGCATTTTTTACTGATTCGAAATTCAGAGTGGAGAAGGAGGGAGATGTAGTAAATAGGGCAAGCAAATAGTAAATAAAATTATGAATATAAACAAAGGAGAATAAGTAGATAGATTGGTTGACATTAAATTTGACAGATTTAAGCATGGTGAAATAATTCAGAAGGAACCTTACAACGTACCCATTCAGAGTTGCCAGTAAAAATACACGGTCACACAAAACACCCAAAGTTCAGTTGTTTAAACGGAATTAAATTAAAAATTGATTATCAATGTCAATATCAGTCATCAATGATCAGTTGGTTGATAGTAATAACTTTGATAGTAGTATCTGGTCGGGTATTAAATTTAATTAATAAGAAATAAGTTTAAATTATTTAAACTTAAAAAAATAAATAAATATATATATATGTAAGTCTGTGTCAATACACAGATCTACCATTATAAGGTTCTACTTTAAATGCAAAGTATTAGATCGCAATATTGTCAACGCACTCACTAAACGCAAAGTCAGCACCGGAAGACAATCAGCCCAAGCGGGGGTTTGGAATGCGTCATTCAGTGAAATAAATTTGGAGAGTAAGGTCATGTTGCGATACGTTTACGACAGAAGCTACAATCGCAAATACTTCCATTGAATAGCGAAACTACAGATACGGTTAAAAAAGTATTCATTTTACTGGGATGCTGAAGCAAACGACAGTGGCTCAAATTAAAAGTCAATTAAAATTGCGGGTTGCCAAACCCTTGCAAGAAAAGAAATTAGTTGGCCGTGCAACCAAATTTACTTTTATTCTCTCCGCGCGTCTCTTATTAAACGTCGTCTCTGGCAAAGACCACTGACCGAGCGGCAAGCAAAGAACAAAAGGCACCAAACAAATACCGTGACCAAGAAAACAACTCTGTACCAACATTTCATTGGGGTGAAACTTCTTTTGTAAACAATGACTTCAACCATTGATTTCTCGCAAATGAAAGTTCACTTCTGCACATAAATAATGCCAGCTGGTAGACAAATCACTCCTCTGCCTAAAGGAGTCACCACTTTGCATTTGTGTATGTTTTTTTTAAACTCGCGAGAAATCGATGGTTAAAGCCAATTTTTACAAAAGCAATTTTGCCATTTTGAAAGGTTGACACCAAACTTTCGATAAAGCGATCGACACCGGCAAGATGGCAGATAGCCTTAGTTTCACGTACCACTTGCAAATAGTAGATGTCGCCACACGACGTAAACAAAGGGATTGTCCTTCACCGCTGCAACGGTATTTCTCTATGGAAAACCAACTTTTGGTTTCTTACTAAGTGGAGACAACTGGCTTCTTGCTCTATAATCTCTTTCTCTATCTCTTTCTATATCTATCTCTATCTCTATCTTACGCACATCAAATCGGCCAATCAAGAGCTGGTTCGCGTTTGACAGAAAAGTGGTGCGTTTTCAGCCCGTATTGTTTAATCTTCTCTTAGGTTTTACCATATGTGGATGTCAAACAACAGCTAAGAATGCCATATGAATAGAGCTAATTTATGATTTTTGTGATGAAATGAAATAAATCCATAAAAAATTGAACCGAGTTTCATCTTCTTATATTACCGAATGGCAATAAAAATACTTTAGTTTCTTCAGTTATATTCAGCTAGGTATCTCTTGAATTTGTTTATCCTTCAGATTGTTTCTTTGAGCATAGTTGTGCAATGATGGCTTGAAGTGTTTCCCGTGTTTCTCCTTCGGGGTAAGTAAAGTAAACTGCTGAAATTGAAAATTAGTCAAATCGCATGATATATTACATATTAAGCTTAAATGCGTTTAATGCCTTCGAAAGACGCACAAAGTTCACCACTGTACCAACCGGTGGAAATTGACGATTTAAAATTGGACCACTACTTGCCTACCCAAGTAACAATTTCGGTTTTATAAGGATTCTGTAGACCATCATTTAGACTTGTAGCATGCTTTAAAACCTTCATAAAACTTGCAATGTTACTTGGGTAGCCTATTGGTCCCAAGCAAATCGATTGACGTACCCCATTCTAGTCGAAATTCTAGCACTACACTTTGTTTGTTTTGATTCGCTATGAAAGTTTGACAGATAAAATGAGGGGTTCGTGGATTTTCCTATGTTTCGAGTGGTGCATCGATTAGCTTGGGAACCGAAGATAGTACCAGAGCTGAGCCAAAAAGTTGAGCACGTTTCTTCGGGACCTTCTGGGCTTAAAGTTACCTATAAGGTATCTCCCTCCTCTGGCTCTCCTTAATCCGACATCACGGTCTCTTATGGAGCTTTTTTTTACATTGGTAACATTGATTTGTATGGACTTGACAGTCATATTATCAAATTTGTCGGATTAGCGGGGGATACTTTAATAAGTACGCTCTTACTCGCTGCAAAATCATTCTTTCTTTTTTTCTTTCATCGACGATAACAAGGCTGTCCACGAGACAGTTGCGATCAGCTAGGGTTACCATATGGTATCCTAAAGGAGGACATGTCCTCCTTATTCAACATTTTTTACATGTCCTCCTTTTGCCTCAAAATATCCTCCTTTTGAATCCTTGAATATTTTCAAGCAAAATTTCAATAAATAAATTTTTCAATTAATTTTGACACAACCTCATACTATTTGAAAGGTTTTGAAGTTATTAAACTGACGTTTTCATGCAAAACAGTTCACTAGTTCATTTCCAAGTATATACAGAACCAGGAATATTATGAAGGGTCTAGTATAAGAGAGAAGCGAAACGAACTGTCAAAGCCAGAGCCAATCGAGCAGCGCCTATCTTGGTTGCATTGGCAGTGTTGCCAGAAACCACCCAGGCAGAGGTTGCCAAGGCAGTTTGTTTTGAATCCGCTCCTCTCTTAAGTCATATTACAGAGCTCATTGTAAAGTGTATGTCTGTCAAAAAAAGTTAAAAAAGCTGTAATTTTTTAGTATGTGCATTTAAATTGCTTTAATTAAGGATACTGGTTGATCAAATATTCAAAATTTACCGGTTTGTTTTTAAGGGATGATGAGTTTACTCTGCATGAAGTATGAGTAATTTCAGTAAAACACTTCTTGTTTGAACACCGTTTTTAAAATTTTATTGTCTTGAGGTACAATCAAACAAATCAATTGTATTTGTTTATTTATATTGAAAAAAAAAATGCATTTAATTGGTTCAACAGTCTTGTCTTCTCTGATACCAAAATACTAATAGTGTAAATACAAGTAAGGAATTTTGAAAAATGGAAGTCGGAATCATGGATTCAGAAATGATACTATTCGATGACCATCAATTCTGATGTTTAAGAGATGAACTAGCCTCAGGCTAAAAATCTCTAAAATAAAGAAAAAAAAAAAAAAAATCTGATGTAGGTATTCGAATAAAATAATGTTTCGACTTCTTTTCCCTTAAAAGAATACTTATAATCGAATTGATGACGACTACATTACACTACACACTACACCTTATGAAAATCATAAATTTTGAGTAAGTGCATGTTTTCAAAACGTTTAATAAAAACTCGTTTTCCTCTTCCATTGATGATAAAAAATCTATACTTTGTCCTCCGTTTTCTCTAAAAATTAAATGAAATGTCCTCCTTTTCACTTGTTTTTTAAATGGTAACCCTACGATCAGCTGACTTTTTTGTTTACCGAGATTTTTTGACAGATCACAGTTGAACTGGCAGTTTATTCTCATATGAATTTCTGCTTTGTTTATGTTTACATTCAGCACCATTAATACCAGATCACTTACACATTCTAGATTTCTAGCTGTCAGTTCCACTGAGAAACGTCTCTTGGATCACCTTATTCTTATTTGTTTCGACTTATTCGATGACGATGGGCCCGCGACAATGAGATGAATTTTAAGCACCGACAAACCGGCATGAATGATCATACAAATCAGGCATAACATTTGATAACGGTAAAAAGGTAAATGAATCATTAAACAATGACGATGTTCCTTAATAAGTAAAAAAATCTCCTTAAAATAGATCGGGTTGCTCCTTAAATAATTGATCAAAATATGTTAAAAATCTTAAAATGTTCAGTAAATATTTAAAGTACGCTTCCTAAAATAGAGAAAACTGTACATTAAGCATTTGAAAATGCTCCTTAGTATGCACCCCTTTGCACCATTTTGAAGTGGAATTGTACCATATATCATCGGAAAAGCTGCTGTAAAAGGTAAATATGTACCATGAAATCAGCTGAAATGTTCAGTAAATCATTGTGTGCATTTGTGCATTTTTACTGTACATTTCAGCTGATTTCATGGTACTTATTAACCTTTCTACAGCAGCTTTTCCGATGATATATGGTACAATTACACTTCAAAATGGTGCAAAGCGGTGCATACTAAGGAGCATTTTCAAATGCTTAATGTACAGTTTTCTCTATTTTAGGGAGCGTACTTTAAATATTTACTGAACATTTTAAGATTTTTAACATATTTTGATCAATCATTTAAGGAGCAACCCGATCTATTTTAAGGAGATTTTTTTTACTTATTAAGGATAATTTCATCTGTTTTATTGAGCAAAAGTAGGGCTGCCTTTGATAACGGCATAAAAGCATTTGTAAACAAACTTTCTAAGGCCCTTTACACGCGAACCAAAGTACGCCCACGCAAACCAACAACATCATCGGATAGGGGCAACTATCACCTTTCCGAAAGTGGTATTGGTTTGCGAGAGCGTACTTTGGTTCGCGTGTAAAGGGCCTTAGAAAGTTTGTTTACAAATG